ATCAACACCGGGAATCAGGACTAGTTTGGATTTCCATTGTCAAATATAAAATTTTGAACTTAGTAAATTAGCATATAAGAGTTATATTTGGAAATCCTACTCTGTATGGTGGCACAACGGAACTCATCAACACCATAAGTAGGAACTATAGTTTTGGATTTCCATTACTGTATGGTGAATGGTGATTTGGAAATAAAACTTTGTATGACTTATATATCCATGGAAATTATACCCTGTATGAAGTAAACACACAAGCTCATCAACAGGGGGGTGCAGATATAAACTGGAATGGCCCATTGCAAATTTAACTAGGTTGATCTCGATGTGTCGAGTGGGCGAACATTGCCAGAGATGGCGTGACTTGCGAAAACGGTATATATTGTTCATGGTTGGGAATTTGTCATATAATTATGAGAGGATTTATAAATACAAAGTATTCAGCATAACGCTAATATTATTCATTATATTATACATATTTTATAAATCATGTATCTATGTTTTTTCGCAGCAACAGAACCAAGCATGGTATCTCAAGACAGTCCACAAGAAAACAGAAGAGCTAATTACACCTGTGTAACATCTGACGAAAAACTTGACAATGGTGGTAGTACTATAGCCGTGGGAGAGTACAATGCAACAGGCAGCGTTGTTGAATTTGATGGTAATGGTACCGCTACAAGTCTTGCCATCGGCAATATGAATGGTATGATACCTAAACTTGTGCAAAATTACCCGCCAATTGGCATGCTAAATGTAGAAGGTGAATGACCTTTATAAACTACGTATCAATTGTCTGTCCGCCTGTTCGAATTGTATTCACGTATTCCGCCTGTACGTCTGTTTTTTGACCTTCCTCTCCTCTCTGTATACATGTGCGTTAATTATTACTATTTTAATTTACCTCCGTGGCGTGATTAAATTACTAATTGACTGTCTGTATACTTGCAGAGGTTGGTATGAAAGAGTTACACAAAGACGTACTTCGCCGTCTTATGGGTACATTTGTTTCTAACCTTCCATGGCAGAAAATATTGGATCACATGGGTGACGTAAGTGCTACAAAAACTATATCAGGTTGAACTATTTGAATCCACTATATTATATTATAACAATATTTTAATTGTCAAAATGCGTCGTTCTGATTTAATTTAGGTGTTTCAAGGTGAAGACTATTCACAAATAGCGACTATTCCGAACTTGACCAATTATGATCGCAGCAGAAAACTGATCAATATTCTTCTAACAAAAGGACCAGATGCTTATGATAAATTCGTGAAAGTGTTGGAGAGTCCTGATCTGCATTCATATAACTACCTCGCCAAAGCCTGTAGGAACAAAGAACAAGAACTATTACAACAGGCTAGATTATAATGGCAGCTTTCGTAAAGCTACATGATGCACACATTGTAATAATTTCTGTTGCCAGTATCCGTCCATCAATTCTGATACATTCTTACTGTTGTGAATATCTTCGAATACTAGCCTCAACTTCTTTCTCAAGTGCTGATGAGAGGGTATATTTTTTTACTACAGAATTAGTTCTTTATTTATTCCTTGTTTTTTTTCATTTTAATATATTTAATTTCTATCATTTAAATAAATTATTAAAGCAATTGCAAATTTATTTATTTTGCCTTAGCTATTTCATTGCCAGTCATCGGAACACGGTTTTTCTCTCTTACTATTACTAAAATCCAATTTTTATTTTTTGCCAATAATTACAAACTCAGGGTAATCAATCTGATAAATTATTTGCTATCATATCATATCATATCATATCATATATCATCAATCTACTAGTATTTAAGTTATTTATGTTGTGTACTTTGAAGAATCATTATTGTTGGAGGATTGGTACGCGGATTACTTTACTATGTATTTATTTGTTATTTAATCTGTTGATTTCTCCTGAGCGTGATATTCTGTTGGATTACCTCACCAACGTGCAAGTGTACACTGAGTTGGTTCATGACTGTAATATTCCCACATCAAGATTTCGCAAAGTGAGGTTACTAACGTGGTGTTATGGCATTCGAATACTAGGGGGATTATTGTATTGTACATGGCGAATCATGTGATGTAATCCGATAAATTACTTGAACATTTTCGAATTGCTTAGTAACAAGAGAACGAGTATTTTCTGTAATGAACATTAATGACATTGCATTGAATCCAATTCTTGACAGGGTCAATCAATGAATCACCATGTTACCTATTGCAAATTATGAAACATTATTATACAAAGTCATGTATATCGTTTTTTTGTAATAATCACATGTATTAGGATTGGGTGGTAAATTAAACATGTCTCCTGTATGCAAAGGGACATGTACAACATGACCAACAAACAGAGCAGATGTATAGAATTAACCACATTGACTTTGGCCACAGTTATTACCAAGTATTGTAATTGTTATTTAATTGGCGCGAAAGTGGTCACGTAAAATAATACTGTCTCAGTATGAAATGTACAAATATTATATATCATGATATTGTACTTTGAAATCATTTCAGGGTTACGATTTTGTAATTAAAACATTAACAGGTCCTTCTACATGCATCCAAAAAGTCGTCATTTGTGAGTTGTAAAACCAGCCAATGGAGTTGTCTGCGTGAAGAATGACATCATAATATTTAATAAACAAATACAACATTAATTAACGCATTGAATGGGGACTTAATCCAACAACGATACGACGCATTGCATTTGAAGATGGGCGCGAGTCATACATTCAGAAAATACAATCATTGCGTAAGGAAACGATATAGAGTAATTCCAGAGATAAGACTGGGGTGTTAAGACTGATTGATTGACTTACTGACTACATATACTACGCTTAGCGAGAAGCCAAGTACACGTTGATTCCGAATATTAGAAGCGATTTTTTATATAAATTGTGCACATTCATATGTGCTCAGAGGTACATTACTTGGGGTTTGCAACGCGCATAGTACTGTATGGTGACATCATGCCAAGATCCCATTCAAGTCTCATCTCGTAGATAGCGAGACTGATGCTACGATCTTCTGACATGGCATAGGCGGTTTGTAATAAAACAATAAAACATGTATTACCACATTCATAGTGAAAAATGTAATAAATCGAAAATGTATAGAAAATATAGTTATCGTAATCCGTCATGCCGTGAGCTGCTATTTTGATCCACCTGGACATCCCAGTATCCTAGTTACCTCGGGCATGCGCATTCGCATTTTTTGTTTGAGTTGGAACGCTTATGCGAGAGCGAGATTGTAACGGGATCTTGGTATCATGTCACCGTAGTTGCAAACCCCAAGTAATGTACCTCTGATATGATACACACTACGTGCATTATTTTCCTTCCAACATAAAATATATCTCACATGGACATGCACATGTAATAAAGGAATGCCTCTAGTTTGGTAGAAGTGTTAACTACACTATATTAACGGCGATGAATAATGTCAAATTACTGATATTGAGATTGTGATTTCATGTTGCGAGTTCTATTCATTGATACCACATGCATCTTTGATGTTTTTTTACAATCAGGTCAGCATATTCGTTGACTTGATCTACTGTTGTCACGTGTGTTGCATATACGATACTAATCAGTAATCTTCCATGTATTGTTGCTACATATATATTAAATATGGTCTTTCTTTGGTCAAGTAGTTAAGGTTGCCTAAGTTTGACACCAGAAATGCCGTGGAACTGCGCCACCCATTCTCGCTGTCTTCAAATACACTATTTTCCAGGGCACAAATTGTTGAACCAAGGTCAAGTAGGAATCTCTGAAATCTTAAGAAGGGTTGAACTTCTCCATTTCTGATCTTTCTGTGCGTTTCCATTGTGATCTCATTCGCAAATTTCCAAAATACATTGGGTAGGTCAGTATTTCGTGAGTCATTAACCTCCATGAAATATGGAACTCCACGGTTAACAAGGCCTTATTTTGCATCTAGAGATGGTTTGGAGAAGCGCCTCACAACAGCAGGATATGATATTCGGAATTTCTTATCACATTTCAAACTCCCACCTTGCAAGATTCGAGACATTGCTGAGCAGCTGGCTGCGAGTATAACTCCATTGACAGTAGCATTATGCTTTATTGAGTTTTCCAGAATTATTTGTGAACATGCATTGTCAAAATTAATTCTGAATACAAACAAGTTTTATGATTGAAACAACAATGGGAAAACAGTCTACCGAATGTCCTTGATTGATGTAAATATCTTACAAAAACATTGGAGCCTAATTTGTTTAACTATTTTAAGGAACATAATTTCAAGCTTTAATCAAAGTAATTCAGATATTTTAGTATAAAAAATGAAAAGTAAAGAAAACGCCCTGAAGGAATGTATGTAAATCATAAGGTTATTCAGAGTTGACATAGCATATGACAATGGACAGATGTTGAATTGCCAAAGAATGCAAATAATTATTTGGTGGCCAGTGGAGAGAGGAGTCAACAGTACTGTTGCCTCTTGTGAATCTACATTTTCAAACACTGCAATTTCTTTTTGAAGTGAGTTTTTAAATTAGTATTATAAAAGATTTATTATTCTGTTCTAAAAGCTGAAACAAATTCCTTTGAATTTTGATTTTCAAAATGTATATACTTCAACAAACAATGTTTTGTCGAATGAACTGTTTGTCAAATAGAGAATACGTATACTTTTCCTTTCAAAACCTGATGCAACGTTTTGCTTTTTATGTATTGTTTTTGTTCTTATAACTTTGGACTAAACAGACTTCCTATTGGCTTCAGATTCTGATCAAATGTTTTGCACCCAATTCATAGGAGTGTTTATATCGATTATCTGACATCTTGTTTTCTGTTAAGATTTTATTGGTAGGTTTGCAAATGTGTATTAGACTGTGCAACAACTCTCTCCATGAGTTGGCATTGGAACCCAGTCTAGTATCCCCATGGGATTTGGGATATACATTAACAATGGTATTATTGCAAGATAAATGATTTACTTCATTGAACACTACACAATGCATATTCCCACTGCGATCAGTGACCTTTGAATGTGTGATCAGTGACCAGTCAAGTAGAAACAGTCAAAATATTTTCATAATATTTTTGCATGATATTTGTACACATGACATATGTTGTTCATACTAAGGCAAGATTTTATACTGATGAATTAAATGACCAAGTTTGATAAAGTTTGGAATAAAATTTGTAAAGTTATTGTGCACACATTAACAATTATTAACGACGACAACCACGACAAACATGTCCCCACTAATATACCATTCCCTTTCATCTGTGATAACGGGTAAGGTGAAAATGGGTCAAATTCATCTCGTTCATGATATTACATGCTGCCGCAATGAATTTGATTTCTAAGCATATGCAAGTCAGTCGATGACGCCGTGAATACAATGTCCCAAAGAAACAAATATAATATCCAGACGTTACGGGAAGTATTGATCTTTCTTTAGTTGGGGGCAGTACTCGTGATACAAGATATATTGTTATCTAGAGACACAATACTATTACACAATGTCAGTACACCAGATTACATAAACAATTGTGTTAAAACATTGCCTACTATATTTGGTAACGCTTGATAGCATCATTGTGTCTGTAGGTAAAATCATGGCTTCGCATAGTCCATCACGAGGTGTTAACAGGCAACCATAAAAGTAGCTTCTGAGTTACGGGCCATATATATATATATATATATATATCAGTTCTTTTTATTTAGATCATGGCAATTTTTTGGTCAGAGCGCCCTCTAGTTTTGTGGAGAATCATGTTCATTTGGAATGCTCTGATTGGATGGAAGTTCAAGCCTAGCAAGGTGTGATAGAATTGGCCTGTTATGTTCAGATTCAAATAAGCATGAACCACTAATTTGACAGGGAAGTGATACTTATAATGCAGCAAGCTGTTCTAATTGCTGTTGTGGTAGAGTTTTTCTATTTTCCTGTCAAATGCATTTATTGGTCCACTGAAAAATGAAAATAATGTTCCCTGTAACTTAGACTCTTATTGATCAAGGCATTTTAAAAATCATGGGTGTTAACTCCCCTCAAGTTATGACCCG